GTAAGTTAGTGGATCAGTGTGTCAATCTTCTGCTAATGCATACTTCATAATTGTTCATTCGGCTAACAAGATGGGGCAGTGACATGGAAGGTCTCACCTCACGCACGTGCCGTGGACAAATTCCAGGGTAAATCCCGCGTAGCTCGGCCACTTCTGTAGATATTAGTTGTCGCTAACAGCTGTGATTACTGATGTTAATGCATGGGCCGTTAAATAACTGCGGAACCGTAGAGAGACGTTGCATAGGGAAGAAATGGAGAAGGGGCATAGATGCGATCCACTAGCCGTTCGCGCTGTGATGTGACCAACTGATGGTACAATCTGCCATTGCCGTTCACTGGATTTGAACCCGAAATTTCTAAGTTTGGTTCCGGTTGTGGTCTAGGACGGTAGTAAAGTGCTCTAGACTGGCAATCAAATGTGGTGATTTTCACCCATTGACGAGGAACAAGGAACGTGGAAACATGGACATGACCCTTCTTGAAACCGCCAGCCTCGCCACACTACCTGCAAAACTTGCGCCACTCTCGGAACCCTGGATGACAGGACTCAAAGCCGGGTTTTTGCCAGTGCACCAGGGATCACTCGATCACAGCATCGGAAGAGGTCTTGACAACAGGTAAGCAACGGATGTTGTTTGCAAATCTTAGACTCCAAGCGGTGTAGATCCAGCAACCTTGCCAGCGGCAGCGTGGAACGTTCCTATTGAGCCATTGGCAATTTGCCATAGTGGAAGTGGTGAGCCCCACGTTGCCTGCAAGCCTGATCCAGCCTGAATCAATGCAGGGTGCCTCCCTTTCCCTTTCCAACACCGTGCTTTGACCCACGCACCTGGCAGTTTGAAGTTGGCCAACTCCAAAAAGTCCTCCGAAGGACTTTTTGCTGCGCGTAACGGGCGTCACCTGCGTCTCTCCAAACACATTGTATTTCGCCCCTCCGCGTCCCGTTTTCTGTCAGCGAGCCCTTCCTGCGCGTTTTACGGCTGCGCGTAACAAGGAACCACCCTGCCAGGGAGCTGCAGCTCACCTGGGAAGCTTTCTTCAGAGTTTCATAAATAGGTCTCCTAGGTGCCATAGAAGCGATTTCCACCATCATCGGAAAAACTTGCACCTCCACGTGACGTGCTCATTAAAACTGCCCGTTAACGCGCAAGTTTGGCTAGTTCACTACCGTCCCAGAATTTGCATCAATGCATGCAGACACAGTCCGACATTAACCCACAAGCGCAGGATCAAAAAAGTGTGGGCGGCGCTTGAAAGGTTAGAACTCGTTCACCCACTCGGTTATGAGACTTTGATACACTAAAGGCAACCGCCTACCGGTCTTTCCAGACAACCAAAAACTCATAGTAGACTGTCATTCTTTAACCTTTCCTTTCATTCCGGGATTGTCTAGCATACCATGTTCGTCAGTCGTCCTTTTTCCAAACACAAAAGGCTTCCTCGATCAGATCACTTTGGACATCTCTTGGTCCTCTGCTCGCCTTAACTAGATTTGATGACATGTCCTACTAGGAAACCTTCTCAGCCGATCGCGTTGAAGTGGTCTACTTCTGCTTAAAAGATTAATTCCTTTTAGTTTCCAAAATGATGATCAAGGAAGCCAAAAAACTCTCTTGGGTTCGACGAAATCTGTTCCTCGTCTGTACGTTGTCGTCAGTGATCGTTGGTACCGTGGGAGGCTCACTTCTCAGGTATTTTTCGCTATTCATATATTGTTACGTGTCAAATATGAATGTTAGCTCTAACCTTCTATAGGGAACAATCTCTATGGAAAAGAAAAAATTATTAGAACATCCGTATGAATTTTTAGCCCTACCTTTTTATAGGAACATCACTATGGAGAAGAAAATTAGAGGCATCGCCCGACGGTGAACGGGCCATTCCCCACATGGGCTGCCAGCTAATAGTCGCCCACCAACCGCTTGGCGCATTTTTGCATTTTTTCGATATTAGGATAACTAACGTTTCAAAGATCACCACAATTACTTTGTGCTACACATGCTTTCGTACATTTACCACACAAAATCCATCGATGTGAGGTGAAATGACAGCAAATCGCTCCCATTCAACAAAAAGGGGAAAGGGTGCCGTCGTGAATGTGGCAGAATGCTTCCATGACACACCATTCATAGTGGATAGCCGTAAGGTGCTTCTCCTCGTCATTGCTCACGGATATTCTACGACGCGTCCTTCCCCTTATAAAGATCAGAAGGCTCTCGCTGGATCGGGGTTTTTCTCTTAATTTTGTCGACCTTCATTGTCGGGAGCCATGAAACCCGCTGAGGAGTTTCGTTTTTCTTCTACAGACGCACCAATTTACGAGCATTCGACGTGGTTCCACGCAGGGTCACCGTCCGTTGGACAAAGTTCAACGCGACTCACAAAGTTCAACGCGACTCCAACGTAACGGTTGATCCTGGTCCCACGGTACTCCGTAGGTGACAATCGGCTAAGGAAACCGTAGAAGCCGCAGTCTGTGAACTCTAAGTGTTGCGCAATTGTTGAGACCTGATCCAGATTGTCCTTCTCACCATAACAGATACCGCCAATTGCACTTCGGGGAAAAATTTAATAACCAGTGACAGCTACTTTTTTTGATGAAACAAAGATTTAACTGGTCACTATTAGTTACCAATTATTTTTAGACTAAGTATTATCGTCTGCCGTTTGGGGCCAAACATCAAAATTGAAGAGAGAAGAAATTGTTTGCGCAAATGAAGGGGTATTGCTGGTGTGACTGCCGAATAAAGCAGACGACGATGACGCAGACTGACGTAGCTCGGGGTAGTCTGAAAATCAGAGCCTAACCCCGCTTGTACGGTTTCCCGATGAAGGTCTCGAAATCAGTCAGCAATTGTTTTCACGGGCATAAGCCATCTGAGCCAAAGAAAATCTTGTTCGGTGGTTTTTTGGCACGCTCAGTAATGTTCATTGTACTACAAAGTGGTCGCAGCGACAGACATTCATCAAGTTTATCGAGTCATTTTTAATTAGGAAATTTAGTCCAAGCGTGGCTTGGGGTGGCACGTCATCCTCAGAAGGGAATCTGGCGAAGGTGGAAGATGGACCAATTTCTTTCGTGAACCTCACACAGGTCAGCCAAGTCGTTCTTGCCTATGGGGGCGATTAGTTGGTGCTAGAAAAGCCGAACAAATACCTTTACCCACTCGATCATCTGTATGAAGTAGCTACTGAAGGTGCTGGACTTGAGGGCTTCTCACTGAAAACACTGAAATAGTAAACTAAACCCTCAAACATCGGGCTACGTTCAATGCACCTTTTCGAGTGCCCACATGGCCCGAAAGCGTTTGGAGATATGGTCATAAAATTGCAGATTGCTGTCTTTGGATGATGACGTCATAGCGATGATCGGTCTACCTGGTGAACTGTTCATGAACATGCTACGATCGATGATTCTTCCACTCATCGTCGCCAGCCTTGTCTCGGGTGAGACCTTTTCGAATCGGATATCTGCAATAAATAATTGATTGTGACGGTTTGCGCGTTAGCCCAAGATTTTTCATAGAACTCTTCCGACCGTGACATTTATTATTCTGCTTTGAACTTCCATTGTTTAAACTCAAATGAGTTTTTTTTTTTTAGGGATTAAATGCTCTTACTCTGAATCGAATGAGGTAGTTGACGATGATCGATTCCTCTAGGAATGAGCCAAGCATGCTATTAACAATTATTATTCTTTCCTGAAGAACAATTGATCAAAAAGGTAACCACCATCATAATCACTGATATGCATCCATTTGCTAGGGAACGAATGGATGCATTCCTCCCAGAACGAGTGAAGCTGTGGATGAAAAGTTCGGAGAGGTCGTTTTTGGGTGGTTGTATTTACTGACTTTTTCTCTCGGCTGCTGCTTCAGGGAGCTGAGGAGGTGATAGTACGATGGAGTAATGTCAGGGCTATACGACAGATGTGGTATCGTGGTCCAGCCAGTTTCCCTCGAAACGTGGCGAGTTATCTTCGCAATGTAAGGTCGGGCGTTCATTTGGAGGAAGGAGATTTTGAGACGTTTCGAACGGTTCTCTCGCACTGCTGCGGCCAACTCTGGGAGTTATGTCATGGTCATCTTTGCAATGCTTGTCTCTCAAAGTGAAGCAGTTCGCAAACCTGGGTCAGCAAATCCGAAAACCTGGGGTAATGTCGCTCAGTGCCCAATCAGTAGCAAAGACTAGACTAAACGTAGCGCTGATCTTGCCTACCGCGCTCCTTGCAAGGTTCTTCTTAAAATTGTCGTAAGGCATAATCGTTGGGTTTGGTCGTTGATCTATTTTGATTCCTACTTAATTATCCCTTTGCGCATTTGAGCTTCTGAAACATCCTGGCTGAAGGTCCTGATGTGTTCTTCAACATATCAACTTATTTCATTATGAAGCTAATTTGACATGAAGAAAATTGAATTTGAACCAAAATCGGCCAGAATTATGGGCAACCCAATAATATGAGACAGTATACAGGGTGGCTACTAAATATTGGCGCATGGTTTATTGATCATATTTCCAAAAAGACAAGCTATCATATCTTCAGAAGTTTATTTTCATATACAATAAAACATGAAAATTCATTACCAAAGAAAGTGCTCGAGATGGCCTCCTTTGGTAGCGATACAGGCTTGAAGTCTCTTTTCAACTGACATCACCGTGGGCCGCAAGTAGCCGACGTCGGCGTGATGTGAGTAGATCTTCAGACCAGAAGTGGCGCACGATTTGCAAAACGACAGGCAGTTGTTGGATCTGGCTAGCAGACATTCTGCTCGACCTTGTGTACACACAAGGAACCGTTTTTCAAATTTGTCATGGTTTGGGCAGGAATTACTTCTGAAACCATGACACCGCTTGTCTTTGTGGATGAATACATCAAAGCCAGCGCCCAGATCTACCCGGAAACAATTTTCACGTAATGCCCTTCTTCCAAGGACTCTTTTGACCTTCAGCGAACGTCATTGCATTCTTCAGCAAGACAGGGCGCCTCCACATGCCGCAAAATCAATGTTGGAGAACTGTGACCGTCATTTTCCAAGTTACCGGGCACAAAATGTTTGGCCATCTAAGTCGCCCGATTTGAACCAATTGATTTGGCGGTGTGGGGTTTCTTGAAGCAGAAGATGCCTTCTGAGCAACGTCGAAGTTTGGACTCCCTGAAGGCTTCCTTGGAGGAGGCGTGGAAGGAGCTTGACGTCAGCTACTTGCGGCCCACAGTGATGTCAGTTGAAAAGAGACTTCAAGCCTGTATCGCTACCAAAGGAGGCCATCTCGAGCACTTTCTTTAGCAATGTACTGCCATGTTATAAGGTATATAAAGATAAACCTCTGAAGATGTAAAGCTTCTCGTTTTAAAAATATGGTCAACAATCCATGCGCCAATATTTAGTAGCCACCCTGTAGTGCTTCACAATTTATTACTCGTAAAGGTGTCAGCCGGACTAATCATTGCCATGTTCTCGTGACTAATTCCAAGAAATTAATTATTGTGTTCTCCTTGTCGGATAGAAATTTATACGACTCTGAAAATTAGGTAAAATCATCAGAGTGAAGAGAAAGCGCAGTCAGTGTCAAGCCGTCACGCTTGGAGGAGACCGCTTCTATAAGTTTTACGTGCTACTCCCCACTTCCAGAGACCGCCTAATATTGACCCCCCATACCAGGGTCACCCTTTTCCGCTCTATCTTCACCCATATTTTTAAGGGGGCACAAAATTTTAAGCGCGCCAACCAACTGCATCATCACTTCCCTTACTGTAACATTAACGCTACCTCGCGAAATACGACCCCCCTTTTTTCACCCCCCAAATACGACCCCCCCACTCCCTCGTTGGACTTTGTCCAACAGGCGGTTGAGAGTTGGTGGTTCTCCCCATATCCCAAGGATAGAAACCGCCCTGCTGCTGCCTTTCGTCCATGTGCCGACTCGGCTTCCAAGTTTCCCTCCATGCTATGGATAGTATTTTACACATTGACCGACGACCAGTTGACTTCGTTTTTTATATCGGCATTGTTTACTAATTAATGATATCACCTTTTTTTCATTAATAGTTTGTACCCTTATTCTATTCGTCCATTATTCGGTCCGGTTAGTGTTTATAGATCCGGTACAAGCGTTGGAAAAGGCTACATGTATTCTGCGTGCGGCTGCCATAAGGGCGCTCCGTTTCTAAAACTCTATAAGCGCACGGATAGTGCGATAGTTGGGCCGGCGTCCCGGTTGGTGTAAGTGGCAGCAAAAACGCCTGAATTCGAAAACGAGAGAGTGGGCGGGGTTGCGTAGCTCCTCTGCCTTGCGCGAGATAGGCTTTGTTCCAGTAATCTGTGCTTTGTGCTTTGTTGGCTGGTTTAACTCAGGGGCATGTCCTATAAGATACCCTTAAGCGGATGGCAACAGTTGCGGCCTGACAGAGGCAGTGCAGGTGCGCGTCGAAAAACTGCAAACTCAAAGGATTAATAATACGTGGGACATGTTTGTTCGAAACTGAGAAGGATGAGAGTGTCGGAGGTCATCTCAATTCGAACACATATGTCCACACATCTGGAGAAGTGGTGGGAAAAATGTGAGAAATCTGGGATGTCACTTCTGCTTGCTTCCTGTTGGCGAGAATTCGTCAGCGAAGCCTAGCTACGGTACACCTCACTTAAGTTTGTAGTACCGGCAGAAGGGAACACTTAAAAATATAATAAAACTCATTGTGACCAAAATCGAGGCGGCATTTCCAAATAATTGGTGATACACGTAAAATTCGCAGCTCAAATTCTCTGTGTGCTGGCTCAGCTTACGCGTGATACAGTGTTCTCGAAGTGCTACGTTGAAGATATGGTGTGAGAGCTCAAAGAAGGAAGAACGGATGCGAGTTGTGGTTGAGGACGCGCTCACATTGCCCACCTTGTCCAAAGAAGAGCGGGTGGATGAAATGAGATTTCAAATGGCGCATCACAGATGTTGCACCTTTGCGATGTTTGCCCATGAGACTTGCAGTCTAGCTGCAGCTGTTACGCGAATTGTGCCCAAAAATTGGAGATGGTCCATAGAACATGTTTTTGAATGGACTCCATTTACTCCCAGATGCAAGATGGCGTTAGCGCGTGGTAGTCCGAGGATATCGATATTGGGGGTTGTCATGTAGTGGTATTCTTGAATTACTTTGTCTTCTCTGCCAATCGCGTCATTTTAAGAGTATCACTGGATCTTCTTGGCTCATCAACGATCTTGAGGTGATTGTGTAGACCCGATGACGAGCTCAGTCTACGAGCAGTGCAACGTGGATATAGCGAGATGAGCCTCGATTGGATCCGAAGTCACGTGGGTTCACGTGGATGATGATGACGGCGACGGATTTCTGAGATGTGCCTCTTAAGCGACTCTGTCGGGAAAAAAAAAACTCTCATCGGTGCTCAAGTGTATGGCTTGTTTCTTAGCGATCAAATTAACAAAGGAATAGCAGTAGAAACTACAATAACGATATCATCACCTATGTCGATGCCAGACCCCACATAGCTCATATTGCTCACGGGTATTTCGACCAAACGGATATTGTGACCTCTACTTATCCGCCGTATTTTCCCAACTGCAGCCGTGCGACCTCAGCTGTTTTAGCGAACTGAACGCCCTACTCGTTGGAAGCGCTACGACAATTCGTTGATCATCTATACTGACATCAAAAGCATCTTGTCTATACTTGTTGAAATGAAGAAGCTGCGCGGTGTCCAGTGTTTTCTAGACGCTGGGATCGGGTCGTTAACAACGACAAGATCTGCTTGACTTCACACCAAAGTATTAGCTTTTTATCTTTCCTGCTGTTCATTTTATTCGAATAAAACCGTGGACATGTTTGAATGAGATGACCTAATATAAACGGTTTCCTTTACACGACGGAGAAATTTTACTGGCGGCGGGGCGCCGTGATCACTCGCCGCACACATGCTGGAGCCCTCACTGAGAGTTTGTATCTGAGAGCAAGTAGCCCTGACGAAGAAGAACGAGGGTGAAGTAGGATCACACTTGATCCACGCAGCTGGTTGGAGGATTTTCCCAACAATTCGTAAAATGTCCAAAATTCAGGAGTTTCGATGCTCGATGGGCGAACCGCCGGTAAGCTAAGCACCAGGTCATTCGTTTACTACACAGCAGCAACGCTCCATGCAGTGCTCGTCAGTTTCTCAGCATTTCTTACAAATAGATAAGAACGCAAGACGATTTGCTTTTTCAGCTTGGTGTCGTAATCGCCACTGTAATTCATCCTGGCGATCCCACTATCAAGGAGGGATTGCGCGCTGAACGAGCACTGCCTTCGCAAGGGAGAATCTTTGACAAGATTGGAGATGTTTTAAGGTGAACGCTCTTTCATTCTGGAATCTTCAGAGTGTGATAGCGAGACGATTTGCAGGAATATGTTCACGGAGAATCTAATTCGATCAATGTTCCAACAACAGCAGACCATCTACAAGCTGATGGAATCGAATGCCACCGCAGAAGACGCGACACGTGCCCTTGTGTGGACAGATGGAATGAACGTTATCGGTCAGTTGAAGGTCTTCTTTTTATGGAGTGGTTCATTAGGATCTGTCTAGAAGCAATTTCTAAGTGAAACTTCGGAGGTGTAAAAAGTCCACTGTTCCACTTTTGTCGACTAGCATTAGAGGGACTGAGACAATATGAAATTGAGAGCCACGAAACACCACATGCGAGAGTTGTGATCACTGCGCGCCGTTTCGCTTTACCTGTCGCAGGTGACCTTAGCACCGCTTGGTTTCTTATGTTGCGGAACAGTGGGTTTCAAATCGGCGTGATTTGTGGGATGTGAAAGGACCCAAATATGTTGGTGCATTTTCTAGGCACCGC